CTTCGGGACGTATTTGTGGCTGGGGAACAGAAGATGGACATAGGCTTCATCCCCTCTGGAGGAAAAAAAATCATTGCCTGGCCTGCTGCTGGTGGGTGTCACAAAGGTCGAGCTTGCTGTGACACACCTGATGATCAGAGTGCGATCCCAGCCTCAGCAAAGGCTGCAGGTAGGAGAAGTGTAAGTGGAGGGGACTCGGTGCTTGTGGAAAGAGAGGTCCTTGCTGCAAGGAGCTTCCAGAAACACTGCAATCAAACCGAGCTGCAGGGCTTTCTGCCAGAGGACAAGAGATTAATTGCAGAGATGAATCCTCACCTGGAGTCTGTAGAGGAGCCCTGAGAGCCCACACCCAGGTGCTTGCATGGTAGACATGCTCTCCTTGTCTGCTCCAGCTAGTCTGCTGGGGCCAGGACCCCTGTGAACAAGGCATCAGGAGCCCAAGGCTGGGCTTGTTGAGCAGCTTGCTGGGTAGTCAAAGGGGGATGGTTTATAAACTAGCACACATGCTCATAGCTGGGGGTAGAGGCCACTGACAGCCCCTTGGTCAGCAAAGCGAGCTGGAGGCAATTCAGCCTGCTGCAGCCCAGGCTCCTGGACGTGACCGAGGAACCGGTGCAACCAGCATCACCGGTGCAGTAACGTACTGAACGGCCAACAGGAAGGCAAGGAGCAGGATGGAGATTTTATGTTCTGGAGGAAATGGGGGAATAAAATCCAGATTTGCAGTCAGGCAGACAAGGCAGGAAATGAGTATTCTTGCAAAAGCACCTTGAGAATATAAATCCTGAGAACTCTTCCTTGTCCAACCTGCTCCAGGTGCCCAAATACCACAGTGAAAAGCACCCCAGAGATGTTGGGAGCTATGCAAAGTCAGATGTCTTCGCAAAGGTCTTTGCACACCGCATCGCCTTCTGCTCTCCCAAAGTCACAGGCGGATGTTCAATCTATACCTCCTCTCCAACAGCTTGTGCCTTGCAGTGATCCTACCTGGAGATAGCCACGGAGGGGTCCTGGTAGCTGAGTGAAGCTGTTGCAATCAGCACTCTGGATGCATTTGGAAAACAAACCACCAAGGCAGTTATGGGAACACGTTTGGGAGCACTGTTGAATTAGGAAGCACAATAGCAAAGGGAGGATGCTTTAACCAGAGCCTGGCAACACCAAGACACCACCACACGATCCAGGTTCAAATTGGAGCATTGGACCAAAAGAAATCTCATGAGGTTCAACAAGTCCTGCACTTAGGAGGGAGCAATGCCACGCACCGGTGCAGGCTGGGGGTGACTGGCTCTGCAGAAAAGGACCTGGGGGTTATAGTGGGCAATAAGCTGAACAGCAACCAGCAGCGCACCCTTGGTGCCAAGCAGGCGACCGGCATCCTGGGCTGCATCGGCAGGAACGTTGTCGGCAGATCGAGGGCAGCGATTCTTCCCTCTATTCAGCACTGGGGAGGCCACATCTGGATCCTGTGTCTGGTTTGGGCCCCCACAACAGAAAGGATGTGGCCCTTAGAGATCATGATGGAGTGTAGAGGTGGGAACAGTCCCTTAGGTCATGCCCAAGCCTCAGAGACACACTCACCGCGAAAGATTCAGGAACCCCGTGGCATCCGCGTGACACCCGAGATGTCCGGCCACTGCCTCTTCCCTGACCTCACCCAAGTTGCTGCAACCACATCAGTCAGGACCAAAATAGCCTCTTCCTGGTGGTGCAACGATCGTCTCCATCTCCTCACTTCCGCAATCTCCTTCCTGGTGCAGCAATGCTTCTCTCCGTGGTGTGCAGGACCTGGGCATGATGTTCCCACCCTGTTTCCCTTCCTGCTCGCCCTTGCATCTAGGCCACTTCCAGTATAGGAAACAGCTGCTTCTGCAGGTGCTATGAAGTGGAGGTGGGCTAAAAGAGCCTGCTGCGTACAGGCCTGCTGGGAGGCACCCCTATTTCTACAAGGATGCATTGCAAGGCTTTATGACCCCAAGATTGCATTAGTGCCTTTAGCACCCATGCATGCAGGATCATTGGAAAGTCAGACTAGAAGAGACCTCACAAGGTCATCTAGTCCAGGCCCCTGCTCAAAGCATCCCAGCCAAGTGTCTGCCCAAGTTAACAAGCATCATTTCCATCAGCCTATTCCAGTGCATGACCCTCCTCATCTCCAGCCTCCATTTCCCTTGCTGCAGCTTCCTCCTAGTTAGAGCAAATCCCATCTTCATCCTCACTATAACCACCCATCAGGGATTTGAAGATCATCAGTCTTCTGTGCTCCAGACTAAACAACCTACTTCTTTCAGTCTTTCCTCATCATCAGTCTGGTTTCCTAGGATGCTATCCATTTTTGTTGCTATGTTCCTTCATATCTTAAAGTGTGGGGCCCAAAAGTGGGCACAGGACTCCAGGTGAGGCCTCACCTGGGGAGCCTCCAGATGGACACTCACCCATCTTGGGTGATTAGTCGGAGTTTGCAGTGACCCAGGACAGCCTTGGTCAAGCAGAGCACGTGGCAGTAGAGACTCTGGACGGGCACTCGTGCATGCTGCAGGGATGCATGGCACATCCCCTCCGTGTGCTGCTCCCTTCGCCGTTCCCCTTGGGGCCACTTGCCCTCTCTGCAGGAGGATGATTCATCTTCGAGCACCCACAGTTATGTGGTTCTCCTGCCCAGACTTCACAGGAAGCAGCTCAACCATCACCGGGCCCAGCTGGGAAACTCCAAATCACTCATTCATAAGCCAGTGATGACAGCTCTCAGTCTGGCCTCCAGATTGGCATTCAGCCTTGATCACAGTGATCCCTTCCTTTCTCCCATCATTGCAAAACACCATGAATGCAGCTGATCACTATATTTTCTCAAGTATGACGCACCTTGGACTATAACAGGCATCTTGTTTTAAAAGGCAGAATAAAGAAGACGCGATTTTTCCTCGTACTAACTGAGCTGCACGGGAGCTGAACCTGCTCATTGCTGCGCTCCCTGTGGATGGCTGTGTAGACGCTACTTTCGGCTCCACCTGGCAGAAATTGGCTCTTACCCCATTTCTCAGGTATAAGGTGCACCCCAATTTCCAGAGGGTGTTTTTTGGGGGGCAGACGTGTGTGTTGACTGGGCCTGCGGGTGTTGTTGCAATAGGAATGAGCGGCTTAATACCGAAGAGCCATGCAAATTCTTCCTGTTTTTCTTTGCTAAGACTGAGGGTGAGAGCATTGCTGCAGAGCTAACCTGCATGATTTAATACCTGGCTCTGGGGTAAAGCAGCTGTTTCCCAAAGGGCTGCTGGTAGCAATATTGCAGCTGTGCACGCGCTGGGCAACTCCTGGGTGCCACCTGCAAACCGCGTAATGGCAGGTGGACAAAGATATCACGCATCCGGTTGGGTCGCCCCCATTTCTTGGGTGAGCCAAGCCCTTTAGGCAGCTGCCTCATAGGAATGGAGCCCAGGGAGTCTTACATAATGTCATCTGGTGGGAGAGCCAAGGAG